CTGAGTAATAACAGTAATGTTTGCATACTTGTGTGCGTCTTGACTTAACGACAGTTGTAAACCATGATGTTGCTGAAAACTGTCGCGAAAACTGGATCGGCCCGATCACATGACTAAATCTGATTCTACCCAATTTTCAAAAAAAAAATAACCATATCTGCCACCGATACTGAGTATCTGATTGGGACAGCTCTAATGTTGATATTCAGTTTCAACAAGAAAAAAGTAGTTAAAAAAATCTAAATTGCTGAAAAAGTGCAAGTTGCTGAAATACTAAAAGTTATGGCTGGTATGTTCTGAAGGAGTTGAAGGTTTTGATACTGTATATGAAACGTGGAACAACAGATGTGCTGAAAAACATGGAATAAAAATGGATCATCTCAATAAGTGTTGATGCTTGATGAACATTCACACGACAAATCATTCTACAAAGACTAATCAGTGCTTTAGATTAYATTTTACACATCGAAGGCAATGAGRGTTTCAGTGTCCTGCCTAGGRACACTTTGACATGTGATTATATCAAACCCCTGACTCTGTAAACTGSTCTAACCACTGAGCCACAGCTTCCCCTCAGTGCCACGTGGCTTCAGTCTTTTTTTTAACTTTCAAAAAAACTTGTGCAAGCAGAATCCATTTATAATGCTTTGTTCAAGAGCTGTCAGCTACTTTTATTCATCCACCTATTATACAGACCCTTTACTAATTAGAGATTTAGGTAAGTAACCACAACTTCTGCTGCTTCTCACTTGTTTATCCCCGAGTCTTAAACTCCTTCTGTCTCAGTGGATGCCAGAAAAAGGATATGCTCCATCTTTAGATAATGTGTGTAATCACGATGCAATAGAARGTGAGTGAAACACAGAGGTTACGCAAAAGTACTGTAACATCAAGTCTCTACAGACYTGGAAATAAAAAGCAGCACAGGATTAAAGAAGCCTCTTTGGCTTTGTRTCATTTACTTCTCAGGTCAACTATCAGGGAAGAAACTGATCTGCGTAAAATCACACCATGGAGTACAGTAAAAAAAAAAAAAACACTCCAGCTCTATTTCACATCATAATATCCCCATTCCTGTCACATCTTCAGCTGAAAGATAACCGAGCAGCTCTGAACAATCAGCCTCAGCCTGCTGCAGCAGAGACGGCAGACAACACTGGGAGCATGTGTTGTACGGTGTTTATGATTCATGGAGTTTGGGGGGGGGGGGGGTCGACGCTGCCCTGTCAGGTCAACTTGTGACTGGGACAGCACAGAGCAGAGAGCAGACGAGTGTACAGGTGACCTTCAGCTATAAAGACGGAGTCATGGCCACTCTGTTCCCATGTTTTCCACAACAGGCCAGGGTGGAAAAAGTGCTGCGCTGGCCCCTTCAGCATGCGATAGACGCTACAGGATAGTATAGAGTAACTGCCCACTGGGACCTGCACAGGGATCGCATTGCAGTGTCACTGCAATACAGAAGAATACAAAATTCCCTCACTTTCCGAAGTCAGACTTTGGCAGAATTAAAAACTAAAACCAAAATCTTTGGAATTTCATGCACACTTTATTYAACTCGTAAACGATCATCCATCTTTGGCTACGTTTTTAGAAGCAAGGCAGCAAGCCATGCTYAAACAGAAAAAACTCTGACACCAAGTACTCTGCCTTTTCTCAAGCATCTGTGCAGCAGCTCAGACTTGCCCGGGGGCAGACAGTTGCTTCGTTTTGTTGGTACTAACAGACTTTGTGCATGAGCAGGCTGTATCTAGGTTAATTGACTAAATGAGTATTCAGGTCCAGTGGGCACAGCTGGGACCCCTGAAACGAATRTTTGCACAACTGTGTCCGATGATGTGACTTAAAGTTGAGGAGAATCCTGCTGTGGTCCAATAACCGTCATCGCCTTGATTTTATTTTTGSTTCACAGAGAAAAGTCCAGCACAGAAGACCCACACAGTCTGGAAATATGGACAGTCCCTAAAGCCCAGCAGGCMACTTGAACTACTGAGGACCATTGACCTATTTTACCTAGAAATGCMCTTTGGAGAATTTAATATCATATACTTCACAGCTACCGTTGAAAGATAATACATTAGGTATATTCAATCTGTATGAAAACTAGCCTCAAAAGGACAATTTGCTTGCAAATTTCACACATTTAAATCTTRCGTATCAGTGTTAAATGTTTAATCAAGCTGCTGCTGATGTTTATGCAATACCTGTAATAATGATTTATTTACAAAAACCTCAGATTATATCATTTAGAAAACATTAAATGTTTATAAAATACCTGATGCATCAAGGGAATAAAATGAGAATATCTAAAAGACTAAAAATAACTGAACAATTGAAATTTTGAACCTATAAATCTTGAAGTTTATCTTACCAGATCTTCAATAATCTCCTTGACAGCAGCTACCACCAGGATGAAGAGCAGCGGCACCAGGGTGGTCCAGCGACCCGTGGGGGACACATCTGGGATTTGCTATAGAGACCAAAGTAAAGAAGGTATGTCAACTTTTAATTGATAAAAAAATAAGTCTTGGAATGTTTCAATTTGTAAACAGACAAAATAAAATACAATGGTCGATCTCTTAATGCTTTTCCAATTGGTTATCTATTTCTAAAAGAAAAAAGCACACATGACTTTACCAGATATTATATTTACAGTAAAGGTGCAAACTGCCTACATTTTAACTGAAGCTTGGAAAAAAGTAGAATCCCTTTACTTTATCTCTTGATTGACACTTTTGGTCCATACAGGCAGGTGCAAAAGGTTAGAGCAATGCTAACATAATAAATCAGTCAGTGAAAACTTTTGTTATAGTGTCCCTCATTTAAGGGGTATCCTGGATGATTAAATTGTGTACAACTATCATTCAGTCACTGCTGCATTCCAACAATACTTTATGCAACGACCCACTTGTCACACATCAGTGTAAGAAATCTCTAAATGTTATTGTGGACATGATAATTATGGCTCTTCAAGTCTTAGTAGTTAAAAAGCAGCTTAATTAAAGCCAAGCAGAACCACAGGAGACACTCATTGTTTCACTGCTGGAAGCAAACGTGAACAAAATTGATTTGGTGTCTTTCTCATCTGCATTGATGGTTTTACTCAAGGTCACAACATTGACAGAGTAGGGAAAGAAAATTCACACTGGCTGCATTTTAGAGGACACTGGATGGAGTTCTTTCCCTGTTCACAGTGATCCCATTAAAGTGGGACAGCCTGTCAGCTCACATAGAAAGACAGAAACTGAAGCACCTCACTTCCTGTTCTCTGGAGAGCTTTAAACTCAGGAGATACAGATTCAGGGTCTCTACAGGCTCAAGGCACATTCAATTCAAGACTTTTTAAGACCTCTTTAATGCCACTTGATATGAAATTTTAGACCAACTTCACAATAAACACAAATGTAAAATGAAAACCAAGTTATCGACAATTTTACTCAAATGTTTATTTTAACACAAAACAACTAGCTGGGAGAGGCATTCAATAAATTATTTCAGGAATAAATATAGGCATGTTTGCATCCAATTTGAATTTGAATTTTGAGCAAATTTTTTAAAATTCGCAAAAAACGAAAAAACGAAGAAATGCAAATCAGACGTGTTYCCATCAACTGGCTTGAARCGAATCAGTTACGTCAGACGCATGGTTGTAKTAAACAAGAAGTAAAAGTTGCATCTCMGGACAATGGAGAGAAGTTATCAGGAACGTGTTGCTACTATCAGGAAAGTTGTAATTATTCTGTCATATCAACTAGTTTTGACCATGTTACTGCTGTCTGAAGACGTAGAGAAAGAAATGCAATTCTCTTCACGTTACGGGATTAACTGAGAATACGCCGACAGCGGGAGGAGGGTCCAGCTGTAGTCACTCTGGTACCGGTTTCGGACACACTGCGAGAACAGCTGATCAACATGTGAGGTAAATGTTCACTACGTCAGACCTGATTCGACAAATGTGTTTCCATCTCTCCTTTTGTGCATTAACTCTTTTTCGAAAAAACCGAAAGCCACCTCAAGCGAGCGTATCAACTTTTATGGGCATTAGAGGAAGTTTTTTCGAATCATGCCGTTTCCATTCACCTTTTCTGATGCGATACTTCAAAATGTGCATTAAAAAACCTTGATGGAAACGTGGCTACTGTTACCAATTATTTTAATATTTGAGATAAATCACCATCATCCTAATTACAATGCGTTAGAATTTTAGGACCTCTGAAAGATGGATTTAAGACATTTTAACGGAACGCTGTTGGGCTGGAGTCCAAATATAAACGGAGCTGCTCATTAAACAGGGATAAAAACATGTGCCCACATGAAGCTTTTTCTTCCTTTCGGTTGTTATGACTGCTGTTGTAAGAAACTTTTAAAACTAACTCTACTATATTACTCATGGCTCTGCAAGCCTCGTTTCTGCACTGCAGTGCAGGAAAAGAGGTGCGCAAAAAGACCAAAACACCAACACAGAAGTAGACACACATTTTACTTATAGTAGGAAGTACTGTATTAGTGTGTCGGGTTTTGCAGGTAAAGTGCAGCTTCCTTTTCGAGTTGCATAGCATCACTTGCTTTACTATTTTCAGGCTAAACAAAAAGCCCCATGTATGTGTGTGTGAGGTTGTGGGTGTGTGATGTGCAWATAAAATTTCAGACATAACCTTCAAAAAGAAAAATTGTGTCTAGGTCATCACAAACWGCATAGGGAAAAAACGGTCCTACAGCATAGTAATGCTAGTGATGCAAAGCTGTAACCATGAGAAAAAGACTTGATGCAGCATTGATGCTTTCAACTGTTTTTGTGTCAAAGAAGCAGCAGAACTAATTCTTCTTACCTGCAGGAGTGCAATGAAGAGAAAGAAGGCGTTGGCTGCCCTTCTGAACTGCGAGTAGAGGAATCGAGGGAGGAAGGTGAGGACATTATATTTGGCTGTGCTGAAGGTCCGAATGAAGCAATGAGGTGGAGCAGGAGACAAACAGAAAAAAAAAAAATAGGTTAGCGATTAGGGTTGGGCAATATTGGCAAAAAAATTAATCACGATTAATTGTGGTATTTAGCCAATAACGATTRATTTGACGATTAATCCCCTGGAGTCCCTGGACAACCTTATGTCCTAGTCACATGACCAATTTAGTGGGAAAGATTTGCTCTTCATAAAAATCTGTTCCAACTTGGTTAGTGTCTCTTTTGGTCATTGGCTTTTCATTTTAGAAACGGGTATTAAAAAAAACAAGAATTGAGTGGATATTTGATTTTTGTTTCAAAAATTCAAATTCAAACACAAAGCATTTCTCATTCTTAGTGTCAAAAGGGGATGAGCAAAATTTTTAAAATGATTTCAGTTTCATTTTCTGTTTCAGATAGCATAAAAGAAAATTACTTTAAGACAGAAACGAAAAAAGGCTTGTTTGTTCATAATCCATGACAGGTCGTGCCAACTTACTGTATCCCTACAATAATCTGTTTCACCACCAGGAGGGGTGCCTGCAATATCAGAGTTATTCAATGAACATCCCATTACAAGTAAAAAGCATTGATGTTGACTTCGGTAGTAAATATATTTGCCAAGTATTTATTTGGTATCAGATCAATATCGAAGTCGTAGTACCACCCACCCCTCGCTGAAAGGAAAACTTCAAGGACGCAAACTGAGAAAAAGTAGACTACAGATTTTGAATTTCAGGATGGGAAAACTCAGGACAAAAAAATATATATATAAAACTTTCTACTCACAGAACAACAATCGTACAACACACTAATGGAATAAAATTGATCTTATTTAGCTTTTTATTGAGCGAAATGAAAGTAGCCGACATGTATTCAGTAAAAGAGACTTATTTGGCCAAAAGTCACATGAAGTATCCCTGCAAAGCTTTTGGTCACAGAGCGACAGTCATCATACAACTCATTTATGGACATACACATCTGTGTTTCAGCCTTTTATTTACATAAATTAGTGTTTCATTTTGCAGAGCTGCCAGGCGAACTCCCCTTCTGGTGGAGGAATAGATAGTTGTAGAATACAAAAAAACAAGCATTTTTTCCTTTATGTCTTAAAGTAATTTTCTTTTTTTGCCATCTGAAACAGAAAATGAAACTCAAATCATTGGTAAATTTTGTTTGTCCCTTTTTGACACTAAGAATGAGACACGCTTTGTATTTTAATTTTAATTCCAGTATTTTAAAACAAAAATCAAATATCCAATCATTTCTTGTTTTTACCCGTTTCAAAAATGAAAATCCAATGACCAAAAGATACACTGAGCTTTCTGGCCCACATTTTGACGTTTGCTTATTTTCCTCCCATTTACC